ATGAAAGCACATTAATTCTGTGTGCTTTCTTAATTATTATCCTGACTGGAAAATGAAAAAAATTCTTCTGAGAAGTAAATCTAAAGAACTTGCCAGGAAAATATTTTGAAATATCTTTTCGTGGGACTTCTGTTGTATTTGAGGCTTTTTTGTTTTAATCTGCTTTGAGGGAAAAAACAAACAAACAAACAAACAAACCCAATGAGGCAAAACAGGAAAAAAAAAAACTCTTGGCATATTTAAGGAGTTTGTGTTTTGAAACTTTTCCACCACAAATTTATGCAGGGAATTTACTTCTCTTTATATCTGGAATCCAGAATTTAACATATGAATACAAATAACTAAGCTAAAAGACAATATTTCTTTATTCCCAATCTATAATTGAAATCATGTCTAAATGTGTGAAGTGAAAGAGGTTGTCTTTGACTCAGCAGGAACTTGAACTTTGGAGAAAAAATTTCTTAGTAGTTAAGAGCAAAACGTGCTATTTATTAATGCCTTTTTATCCATTTCTTTGACATCCTGAGAACATCTGCCCAAACTCTGCAGCTATGGTCTATTATTAAATATTTCATTTTTGAAGGTTTTTTCTAATTTGTATTGCCTGCATTTTTAATTACCAAGTGTTTACATCTTGCAGCTTCAAAATTATCCCTGTATTGTTTTGGTGCAAAGATCCAAACTCAATTATTTAAAATGTCCAGATTATTAATTGTAAACTGTTAGAGAAAATTGTATCTCTGTTATCATTGCAATTCTTTGAAAGCACTCTATGCAATACATTCCTTTCCTCTGTTCTTTCATGCTGAGTGAACAAAAATGCAATGTAGGTATTTCTTAGTAATAGGTTGGAAAAGATCTCCAAGGTAAATGAGTCCAACCTTCGACCAAAACCAAATCATAGTGCTAAGTGTCACACCAGTCATTTCTTGAACACTTTTAGAGATGGTGACTCCACCACTTCCTTGGCAAGTCCATTCCAACGCTTGACAATAATTTCAGTAAAGAAATTCTTCCTGACGTCCAACCTGAACCTCCCGTGGTGCAGCTTGAGATCAGTCCCTCTCATCCTATCACTGGTTGCTTGGGAGAAGAGGTTCATCCCCACCTTCCAACCCCCTCCCTTAAGGCAGTTTGCAGAGAGTTAAAACATCTCTCGTAAGCCTTCTTTTTTCAGGCTAAACAAGCCCAGCTCCCTCAGCCACTCCTTGTATGACTGTCTAGAGCCTTCACCAGCTTGGTTGCTCTTCTCTGGAAATGCTCCAGCATCTCAATGTCTTTCTTGAAGAGAGGGGCCCAGAACTGGGCACCAGCACAGCTCTCAAGGTGTGGCCTCACCAGTGATGAGTACAGGGAGATAATCACTGTCCTGCTCTCCACACTGTCTTTGATAAAAGACAGGATGCCTTTGGACTTCTTTACCACCCGAGTACATTGCTGGCTGAAATTTGATTGTGTCTGCTTACCGTGTGGAATATTACATCCTTAAAATAATTTTAATGTAAGGAAAAACAAACAAATAAATATTTTTTACATGTTTGTGACTAAGAAGACTATCATAGCTGTTAAGCATATGAAGTATTCACTGAGAGAAATCTTAGAGAAGAACTGGACTCGATTAGTTGCTAAGCCATATTTATAAGCCTTCAAAAATGATATAATGGAAATTGTTTAAAACAATATACACTTCTAAAACAAGAAAAAGATTTTTATTGTATCCAAGCTCAAAATGTAAGGTGCCTCATAAATTCTATGGATCTTCTTACTGATTCTTTCTCTTATCATTTAAATGACAGCATGATCAGTTTGTTTGAAAATATCTGGGTAGTATTTAGAGACAGAATTTCAAGAATCCACTTCTATGTAGTTCTCTACTTTGAAACTTTAAAATACCTAATTTCATTCTGCTAGTACCATTAAGACATTAATACCTTGAAAAAAATTATCCTCATCTATCTTGATCTGACTAAACTATTTGGTCACCTAGCTGTTATTCAGGACACTGCCCTCCTTTTCCACAGGAGCTTTCTACATCTGAAAGTAATAAATTCCTTTCATCAGTTCTTCCCTGCAGAGTGAGCAAATATGCACAAGAGGTTTCCACATCAAAAGCAGAAGTTTTGTATGGACTTTTAAAGCATCTGCATCTAGCAAAAGGAACTTAGAAATTTATCTTTCATTTCCACATAAACATATAGAATTGTGGGGCTTGGGATTCTTTTTAATAGTTATTCTGTAAGGTCTATTGTAGGTGGCATCAGTGAAAAAGTCAAATATCATATGCTATCATAGTGATTGTCAGTAGCAGGAACAAGGCAGGTTTGGGCAGCAAATTATCCAAAGAGCTCCAAAGATTATAATCATAGTAGACACAAGCTCTGATGTGGGAGGCACAGTTCAGTGAACAAGCCTCATAAAAAAAGATTTTTTTTTAAGGTACCTTTTACTGGTGGAGAAACAAACCATAAAGACTGTTTCCAGATTAAATGCTTTTGTGGCATTTCTATTTATTTTTCACACATGTCATAACTAGAAGGTAATTAGAAATTGCCAAAAGATTATATTAATTTATCATGCCAGAATAGACATATTGGATCAGAAGGCTCCACCTCTCCTTCCTCTCAAATACCTTTACCAAAGATTTATAATAATACTTTAAGAAAGGTATTGTCACTAAAATAGATTTAATCCTAAATTGCATTGTTACCTGTTAAAGAAAAACATCTAAATTACATGCTGCACAGCCAAAATTGTAAAGAATTTCCTTCCAAGAGAAGTGTGAAAGACAACTAAATATGTTGCAATGCTTTTTCTTTAATTTCGATTGTCCATTTAATAATTCCTCAAAGAAAAATGTACCCCTTGAAATGTGTTAAGACTGCACAGTGAAACATCACTGGAGATATGTGTCCATTTGCAAAGGGTTTTTTTAGAAATTGTTTATATTTGGTTTAGGGTTTTTTACTTTTTACAGATTTCTTATGTATGGACCAGGTAACTTGCTGTTCAATGAAGATCATAGTCTGCATAATTAATTTTGAAAAAGTTAATATTTTGTAACTTAACTCCTTAGTTTTTTTTTTTAACTTTTAAAAGAGCTGAAAATCACATAAGATGTCTTTTACTGAAACTGAAAAAAAGATTGCAGACCTAACTACTTTTTGTCACTTCAGAATATTTTAGATTTTTTTAGGACTTTACAGATCAAAACTGAGTATTTCCACTTCTTTATAGTGTTTTTAGAGAAGCATAGATTCTGTTGTCTGGAGCCATGAATTCTATTTCCTTTTATGGTTTGGGGATTTTTGGGGGGATTTGTGGGGGTTTTTTGTGAGTTTGCTTGGTGGGTTTTTTTGGTGGCTTCTTTTTGTTTTTTGGAGGAAGGGGTTGTGTTTTGTTTTGTTTTGTTGTTTGGTTTTTTTTTTTTTATTTTTTTTTTTTTTTTGTTGGGTTTTTGGTTTTTTGTTGGCTTTGGTTTTTTGGGTTTGAATTTGGGGGTTTTGTGAGCCATACGCTGTTTACTATTACAAGAAATTGGAACCCCAAATGGAAAAGTAGAGTGATCTTTTTACTTCAGACCTGTGAAGTGTGAGTCAATGCATTGCATTTGAGGAAGATTAAAGGTTGGGTATGTCAGACAGGCAAAGTCATTTCAAGAGGATAATCCTGCATAATTTATGAGAAAAAATGCAAGACAGGTTTTGTGTATATGCAAAAACAAGTAGTTAGCTCAATCTATCAAAACAATTGTAATCCCATTCATCAGAAGTGACACAGTGAACATACACTCATGTTTACTCTGAAGCATAGCTTTGGTGTTCCTGATTTTAAAAATCTGCATTTCCTATTGATGTAGCAGTGCTAGCAGAAACACCTTATGTAAATGCAGTTAATGTAGAGAAGTTGTATAAAAAGTGATTTGGGTGACAAGAGACAAATTACTTGATTTAAAAACCCAAAATTTGTTCATTGTAACTGTTAAGCTACAGATTGGGCAATTTTTCAGAAACAGAACAATATTTTGATATTTTGTTTTGTTCAAACAAAATAGAACAGTGAAAAAAAAAAAATAAAAAGAAGCCTAGATGAACAAAGAATACACCTTCATCAATTTTCTCTCTTTTGTTTTGTGAAGGAAATATTGTAGAAAAACTATTATCTCTTCAATTTGTTGTTTTTCCTTCTTGGCTGGTAAGCTCTTGATGACACAAGAATAATTATGAAATCTGATTTAAAACCTCAGATTGTCCATGGATAGGATTTGTCTTGTAGTCAGAACAGCAATAGCAGAATTTCTTTTTTTTTTTTTTTTAGTGGCTATTTTATACAAAATATTTGATTAGCATTATTTCTTTTTCTTTCTTTTTTTCTGATATCAAAATTATTTTTTGTTTTTTGTTACAGAGTCTGTATTTAGTCTCAAGAAGTCTAGGCTATTTATTTAGTGTACAGTAATTTCATGACCATAAGGCACACCAGACTATAAGGCACACCGCCATGAGCTGGCAAATTTCGCAACTTTGTACATTATATAAGGCACACTGGACTACAAGGAGCACTTTTTTTTTGTCACGAAGATCCTTGCCGCATGCAACAAAGTAACGAATTAGGAACAGAATCCTGCAATCTTGAAGTTTACTGGCAGGTGCTCAATTTGCAAACATTTTTCACAGATTGGCGTAGCCTTTAAATGCAGCCCCAAACGTCCTCCACATGCGCGGGGCCCGGCACTCCCGCCCACCCCCAGCTAGCAATGCACAGCTTGGGGCTGCCTTGGTTCAGGGCAGTTTGGGGCTGCCGAAGTTCAGGGTGGTTTGGGGCTGCCATGGTTTGGGGCGGTTTGGGGCGGTTTGGGGCTGCTGTGGCTCGCAGCGGTTCGGGGCTGCTGTGGCAGCTCCCCCACCTGGGCTGCGCCGCCGCACTTTCTTCCTGCCACCTGGCCTGCTCTGCCGCTGCCGGGCTCGCCTCACACCGGTGCTGCCCCGATGTTGCTGGGCTGTTGCAGTCTCACACGTCTGGGTTGGCAAATTTCACAACTTTGTACGTTATATAAGGCGCACCGGACTATAAGGTGCACTTCCAGGTTCAGGGGAAAATTTTAGTCAAAAGGGTGCACCTTATAGTCATGAAATTACTGTAGTTCCCAGTTTAGTGTACATTGAGAAAAAGTGTAGACAGAAATTGACATTTCTGCATTTGAGTCCTCCGTGGTTTATTTTATTATTATATTATAAATATATACGTAATATATATAATTATAATTATGATTATTTCTTCCCCATACACTTCCTGGTACTAGAGTAGTGTTGATACTCATAATAGGGTGTTTTTTTTTTTCCTGATATCACTCACATCGTGTTGTAACTGACTATGAAGCACAGCGGTTTCATGATGCACAAGCAATCTGAGACACAGTGTGTGTATGGCAGTGTGTTGCTGCTGTAGCCCATGACGAGAGGATTAGGCAACGCCTTCAGGGTGCTACTGCACAGTGTTATCCACCTCACCCATTTTCCAGCCTTAGAAACCCAGCAGAGAAATATCTGGCTTCCATTGTTCTGTACAGATTGCAATCCATCAGTGTCCTTTCCCCTGAGCTGTTGAGGCAGGGGAAGGAGGCACATGAGTGAGGAATGAAGAATTGAAGTTTGATGAAGGGTTGCTAGGGGAAAGGTGTTCAAGTTTTTGCCTTTGTACATCACCATGCTTGGTTGTTTTTAATTGGCAATAAATTAAATTTACTTTCCCCAAGCTGAGTCTGTTTAGACTGTGGTGGTAATTGATAAATGATGTCCATGTTTATTTTGACACATTTGTTCCCTTTCTTATTTTTTTCCCGTGTGCTGTTGAGTATTTGTTGAAGTCAAGTGTTAGGTTTTCCACCTGGGTAAGGGCAATCTCAAGCACAAATACAGACTGGGTGCAGAATGGACTGAGGCAGCCCTGAGAAGCAGGACTTGGGAATGTTGCTTGATGAGAAGCTCAACATGACCCAGCGATGTGTGCTTGCAGTTCCAAATGCTGACTGTGTCCTGGGGTGCAACCAAAGCAGCATGGCCAGCAGGCCAAGGGAGGGGATTCTGCCCCTCTGCTCTGCTCTGGTGAGACCCCACCTGCAGTAGTGTGCTCAGGTCTGAGTCCCCAGCATAGGATGGATGTGGACCTGTTGGGAAAGTCCAGGGGAGGGCCATGAAGAGGATCATAGGAATGGAGAACCTTTCCTACAAACTGAGACAGTTGAGATTGTTCAGCCTGGAAAAGAGAAGACTCCGGAAACACTTTGGAGCAGCCTTCCAGTACCTGAAGGCAGCAACAAGAAAGATGCAGAGAAACTTTTCACAAGGGTATGTAGTGCTAGGACAAGAGGGAATGGCTTAAACTGAGAGAAGTTTAGGTTTCGATTAGATATTTTAGAATTCATTAGGAAGAATTTTTTTACTCTGATAGTGGTGATACATTGGAACAGGTTTCCCAGAGAAGTTGTGGCTGCCCCATCCCTGGAAGTGTTCAAGGTAAGGTTGGATGGAACTTTGAGCTAGCAAGACTAATGGAAGGTTCCCTGTGCATGGCAGGGAGGTTGGAATTAGATGATTTTTAAGGTCACATCCAACCCAAACCATTCTATGATTCTATAAAATATTTCAGATAAAGAAGATACTTTTCAAAGGAAAAATAATTTCCTTCCAAGAACACCAATTATTAAGTGGTTTGGAGAGGATTCTTCAATTATTTGCCACAATCTCCAGCAAGATATTCTTGCTGCAGCAGCTGTGTGTGCTGTGAATCTATATCTGTAGAAGAGGGCCTTGACTAATAAGTTATTATCTAATTTTTTCTTTCAGTAGTTTTTACCTAGTTTCTATCATCTCAGTTAATGTATTTACCTCCATGAAAATCATCTGAATAGTCCTGATTATAACTGATCAAAAATTATCATATGTCAATGAGGTTTATTATATGCTATATTCAGGTTCAGCGACACTGCTTTGTCTAATGTATGAGCATTTGTAAATAACGTTATAATTGTGTTATTTCCAGTGTTTTGCTTTGGTTTTATTAGCTAGGTGAGAGACAGTGCGAAAGATCACAGTTGCAGAGCGGGGTGGTGATGTGATTTATTTCCTCCTTGCTAATGATTAGATATTCATTTACAAATAAGAACTTTTACAATAATAACACCTGTTTAATATTGAGATTTATTTTTTATTTTTGTTTCATTCTGTTTGTGCTTTTTCTTCCTTCCTACGCTTCCAGGAAAACACCATGTGTTGCTTGCTTAAATGTTCTGAATAATTTCTTTTCATTTGTATGCTCTTGCAATTTAGTATTTTTAACCTGGTCACAAGTAATTTTCTTTACAAAAAAAAATTATTTAAATACTCACTTCATTAACCATCAAAACTACATTTTTAACCATTCATCTTTTAATACTCATTCACCACTAAATTAATACAAATTTGGCCTCAACTGTTCTTATACAGCCAAATCAATAAACTGAATAATAATGAAAGAAGATAAGATTTAAAAGTACTCTATGGGCACAAGTTTGAGTATATGTGATTTCTAAAGTGCTGATGAATACTTTAGCATGAGTTGCATTTTCAAAAAAATCTCTTCCTGATATCAAGATAAGCTTAAAAAAATACAAAGAAAATTTTGATTAGAAGTTGTAGAGTTGATAATTTGTAATTCAGTAAAATTATCTATATTTTTATTTTCAGAAAAATAAGGCAGACAAAAAAAAGCCACAGCAAGCATATTTCCAAATGGAAGAGAGATCTCATACTTCTAATTGAACTTCAAACTTTCAACATCAACAGTAAAATGCTGTAGTCAATTGCACAATGAAGACCTTTCCAGAGTAGGTGCTTTACTAAAGAGAGTATCTTCTTCAAAAAGCTTGCAGTCTGAGAAGTATGGATTCAAAGAAAGAGAGAATAAAATACAGTGCAACAATAAAACAACCTACCTGACCATGAGGTACTAGATGTTCCCTAAATTTTTGTAGGCATCAGAACCATAATAAGTTTTAAAGAGGACTAAAAAGGAGATGATTGTTTGGAAGCTTACCAATTATATAAATAGAGCTTTGAAAAATTATGTTGTACATGGGCAGTATAACTTCAGAAAGGGGAAAGGGAAATGCAAAAAGGTAAGTTTTGGAAGAGTTTGAAGACATAAGAAAGTTAGAAGAGGTTTTTCATTGAACTTTAAAATGGTAAATTATTTTACTGCAAAATAGTAGAATGTAAGACATTTTCATTATGCCTCAAAATTACTTTGCAAACTGATTTTGTGAAACTTGAAGAAAAATACCATACGCTGCTATAATGATTGTCTTTAAGACTTAACAACACAATTCACAATAAGGCAAATAATGTGAATTCAATACACTTTACCCCCCCCACTCAAATAGTATCGAGAAGCTATGTCAAAAGTTTATATGACCCATATTAGGAACTTTTTGAATGGTCAAATATTATTCTAATTGTAAAAGTCTCTAAAAACTTGTTGGTATTATATCAAGGGGCAGAATGATGGCAAGTCAGCTTCAAAGTAGATACATGTAACTTAATGCATCCAGGAAAAGTAATAAAATCCCCTTACGTGTGACACAGAATTGAGAACTGGCAGAAACAGATTAGGAAATAAATCTTTGTGTCATGGTTGACATATGTCTGAAAACACCTGTTCTGTCCCTGAAAAGAGACAGAAAAACAAAACAAAACAAAACAAAACAAAACAAAACAAAAAAAAAAAAAAACACAAAAAAACCCAAGCAAAACCTATTGAGCATAATTGTGAAAGGAACTGAGAAAAAGAAAAAGCATATTATTCTGTAAAAAACCTTGGCTGACTCACATCCTCAATTGCTACAAAAAATTTTGTTCTTTGCACCTAAAAGAAGTAGTAGAATTTGAGATTGTAGAGCGAAAGGCAATTGTAAAAGTGAATGTGGTAGCTGCTCTGTAAGGAGCTTGTGACTAAGAATCTTGTGACTGACTGCTCAGTGGAGGAGACAGGTAAAGTGAGAATAGGACTCTGGTGGATGGAATCAAAGACAAGCTGAGTTTAGAACAAAATCTCATAATACTGAAACTAAGAGATAGTAATTTAAAGTAGTACAAGATCTGTTTTAAATACAGTAATTTCATGATTATAAGCTGCACCATTTTGACTAAAATTTTAGTCCGAACCCAAAGTGCGGTTTATAATCAGGTGCGG